ACGCCGCGTTCGAAGCTTGGTACGGAGCAAGCCGAACGTGTCATTCCTCCGAACTTTCGGTTGCATCGCCACGTCGGGGAAGACGGGCCGAACCTCACCAAGCTGGAGGACGTGAGCACACCCATGGTGTTCTGGGCTACGCGGAGGGTACCAAGGCGCATCGGCTCTATGACCCATGCGGAGACAAGGTGATCAGGTCGCGCGACGTTGTGTTCAACGAGGAGGCAGCTTGGGACCGGCATAGTTCGAGCACGGGGAAGCGGAGGCTTCACCAAAACCTTCGTCGTCGAGCACTTGGTCATCCACGGGCGGTGGAGACGCCTGGCTGCGGAACAGGTGCCACGATTCGGGAGGAGCGCCGAGCACTCGGCGGTAGAGTCGAGCACTTACGGGGCAAAGGCCGAGCACTTCAGAGGAGGATGCCGAGCACTCCGAGAGGAGTGTCGAGCACTTCGGAGGAATGCCGAAAGCACGCCAGAGTGGAGCCAGCGGTTCTCTGATGGCGGCGACCACTTCGGGGACGGGTACCGAGCACTCCCGTGGCGGAGCCAAGACGTCTCTTCGTGGTTCCGACCACACCAAGATCGAGTTGGGCACTCCTGCCAACGGTGTGGCGAACACCGCGGGAGTTATGACGAGCGATCGAAGCGAAGCGATGCGAGCACTTGGTGCTATGCGCAGGGGCACTCCGCGGAAGAAGGAACTCCATCACCCTCGATCGAGTTTACCTCACCTCCAAGTGACATCACTGAGTTCGTGGACGCCTACCACGAAGGTGAGGAGTTGAGGTTCCGCAGGCTGGACGACATCGTTGGCGGCACAGGTCCCTCAGGTATGGCGGGTAGGCTGCTCAACGACCCAGAGCTACTACTCGTCAGTGCAGAGGAACCACCCACGTTCGCGCTAGCCGAGCGCGATGGAAACTGGCGACGGGCAATGCTGGAGGAGATGAAGGCGATCGAGGAAAATGAGACTTGGCAACTCATCGATCCACCCCCAAGATGCTGTCCGATCAGCCTGAAGTGGGTGTACAAAGTCAAAAGGGACGAGCTCGGCGCCATTGTCAAGTACAAAGCGCGCCTCGTCGCCAAAGGCTTTGTCCAGCGTGAGGGCATCGACTTCGAGGAGGTCTTTGCACCAGTAGCGCGCATGGAGTCGGTCCGTTTGCTACTTGCTTTGGCGGCAGCAAAGGACTGGCGCGTCCATCATATGGACGTTAAATCGGCCTTCCTCAACGGCGAGCTGGCGGAAACGGTCTTCGTCAGGCAACCTCCAGGGTTCGCTGTCAAGGGAGAGGAGCACAGGGTGCTCCAACTGCGCAAAGCGCTCTACGGGCTGAGGCAAGCCCCTCGAGCATGGAACGCCAAGCTTGACACCACGCTGGGCGAGCTTGGGTTTCAGAGGTGCGCAACCGAGCACGCGCTCTACACGCGACGATGGGAGAAGGAAGAACTCATGGTCGGCGTGTATGTGGATGACTTAATCGTCACCGGCGCGCGCACGGAGGATATCAACAGCTTCAAGCGAGAGATGGCAGCTCGTTTTTGAATGAGCGATCTTGGCGCTCTCTCCTACTACCTCGGCATCGAGGTGAGACAGGGGAAGGAGGAACTCACGCTCGAGCAAAGCGCGTATGCCTCTAAGCTGTTGGAGAGGAGCGGCATGGTGGAGTGCAAACCATGCGTGACTCCGATGGAGGAGCGGCTGAAGCTGACGAAGGACAGCACCGTGGCGAAAGTAGATGCAACACTCTACCGGAGCATCGTCGGCGGTCTGCGCTACCTAGTCCACACAAGGCCGGATATTGCGTTCGCCGTGGGCTACGTCAGTCGCTTCATGGAGGATCCCAGAGAGGATCACTGGGCTGCGGTAAAGCGGCTACTACGCTACGTCAAGGGGACGGTGAATCATGGAATCATCTTCCCAAAGACTGGGGGAAGTAGGCTGCAGCTCACGGTGTTCAGCGATGCAGACATGGCGGGGGACATCGACGGACGACGGAGCACCTCTAGCGTACTCGTCTTCCTCGGGTCGGCCCCAATTTCATGGCTGTCGCTAAAACAGAAGGTGGTGGCGCTATCTACGTGCGAGGCAGAGTACGTAGCGGCGGCCACAGCGGCGTGCCAAGTTGTGTGGCTACGCCGGCTGCTGGGTGAGCTAACTGGCGTGGAAGCTCACCCACCAACACTGATGGTGGACAACCAGCCCGTCATCGCCCTCGCGAAGAATCCGGTTCTGCACGACCGGAGTAAACACATCGACGTGAAGTTCCACTTCCTCAGGGACTGTGTTGATGGAGGGCAGATCGTCATCGAGTTTGTCGAAACTGGTCGGCAACTCGCGGACGTCCTCACCAAGCCGCTCGGAAGACTTCGACTCACGGAGCTGAAGGAGATGATCGGCATGAAGGGGTTACAAGGGTTAGCAGTAGGATTAGGGGAAGATTGTTAGCTAATCTACTGCCACCTTGTGAGAACACAGCAGAGGAAGGCGGCGCCGACTTAGCTGCCTGCTGTGTGTGAACACAGCAAGGGAAGGCGGCGTCGACTTTGCCCCCTGCTGTGATACAGTAGCCGCTGCAGGCGCCGCACGGCTCACCTGCAGCACTGTAGGAACAGGCAGTGGCCGGCGCAGAGTCAGCCCTGTCAGGTTATCTAGTTACTGTGTCAGCATAGGCGCTGCACATGGACTAGATAGTTAGAGTTGTATAAATAGACATGTATAGCAACTCAGTAAAGAGAGCTCAGATTTACCATCACACAGAAGTATTGTGCGTGCTTGCTCTGTTCTCCCTTCCTTTTCTAGCTCGATCCGTAGTGTGTGGGTACGGACAACGCCGGTACGTGGTCTGCACGGCTAGTGGGTGCTCGGCAACACTAGCGCGTGCTCGGCGAGACCGACAAGTGCTCCACTCGCCTGAGCCGGGGGTCGGCAAGATCGGCTGGAGTGATTCACTGTCGTGAGCCGGTGATCCTGTGAGACCAACGGAGTGGTCTGGAGGCTATTTCGATGGTCTGAAGGCTATCAGGTAGTGGTCGAAGACTGTGCTCTCTAGTCTGGAGACTATCTGTAGTAGTCTGGAGATCATCTAGGTGGTCGGGAGGCTAACTGTGGGGCAACGATCACGAAGCTGCACCGTCTCTATCTTCGAATCCATCTTGACTAGTCTCCGGTTCGGAGTGAAGGCGGCGCGCCGGCTGGCCGGCCACGGCGGCGATCCGGGACCTGCGCTTCCTCATCTTACCGGCGAGTGGAGAGCACAAGTCCGGCAGCATCATCGTCTGAGATCTCCAACCTTTACCGCTGGCCGGCGTAATTACGTTTCGCTCACACGTTAGCCCGGTGATTCTTGAAAATTGACCGGCATTGACAGGCATACATCTTGAAAATTGCATGATTCTGACTGCAGTCTACAGATCTGGAAAGGAATTGCAGAGATTCAAGTGCTACATCTGTGGGTATTCGCAATAGCAGGGCAAAAAAGACATGAACACTTGTCTGACATCTTGATTGTTGTTGTTATCTCTGCTACAAGTTTTTGGTCGGAACCACATTTGGCCTTACCTTCTCGAAGTTTTCATGGTTATTACAGAATGAAGAGGAGTTCCAGCAGTAGTAGGTGCATCAGGTCGATGACAGTAAATTTCATCCATGTTGCTCTTTCAGAGGTGAGATTTTTTTATCTGAAAACCTTACAGCTAGCAGCAACGGTTGCTCTATCTTAGGAAATCTGAAGATACACAGGGCAAGAGAATGAATTAGAAGATGAGGTTATTGCAGATTGATAACATACTGAACTGGGTTTGTTAAATTTCGAACCTAGATGATGGAAGCATGCCAAGGGGAATTGCAACTTCAGAGAATGTGTCAAAGCCTGGAATTTCTTTATCCAGCGTACAATGCGTCAAAGCGTGGAATCTCTTTCTCTTTATATGTAATATCAAGAGCAAATTCTCTGTACAAGTTGCATCTTCAGAGAAGCAGCGTGTGTGCACATTGAAAGACACCTTTGAAAATTGCATGATTCTGAGTTCTGACTAGTTAAAAAGAGGCACTGTAGAAATTTGAAGAATTTGAGACTCATAGTAGTAGTACGTCCGCGGGTATTCACAGTAGCAAGGCAAAAATGACATCAAGGCACGTCTTTTTTTCTTGCGGGTACATCAAGACACGTCTGACATCTTGAAAATTGTTCTCTCTGCTAGGAAGGTTTTGGTCGAACCGCCCTTTGCGCCTTCGCCTATCCTTTTTTTTACTTTTTCATGGTTCTCTTATAGAATTAAGAGGGAGTTTGGCAGGCACTTCAGAGCTTGTATTTCGTCTCAACACCTTACAGCAGCAAGGGTTGCTCTATGTCAGAAAATCTGTAGGTATACAGGGCAAGAGACTGAATTAGAAGATGTGGTTTTTGCAGGTTGATAATATACTGAATTGAGTTTGTTAATTTTTTAACCTTAAAAATTGAACCATGTCAAGGGTAAATGACATATGTTGCCCTACTCCTTCAGTGGTGGGAGGCTCAAGGGCTGCACCGACTGTGTCGGCATCGGAGCCTGCGATGACCCTGGAACTTTGTTGTCCTGATGAACCAGAAGGTAAGCTACAGGTGCAAACAGATCATCCGAAAACTCTCGAGCGGTAAAAACAGCACCCAAGAGTTGGTCAGGTAGTAACTCTGATTTGATCATCCCATGAGAGAAAGAAAATTCAAACATACCTATTTGGCACACATGAATGCATTTTCACCTGAATTTAGTAAATCTGACAAAGAGGATCAACAATTGCATACTAGCTAGCTCTTCCCAAAGAAAAAACAGGGTGCTAGCTAGATCATTGTTAGTGTGTGGAGTGATAAGATGAGAAAGAATCAAGTCAGTAACGTGTTTCAACTCCTGCAGTGACACATGAAAATTCATGGATATGTGCATAATAAGACATTAGCAAAGGGGTGAACCTGTGTGTACTATACCAGTTACCAAGGCATAATCCCTGAACAATGCCTAAGCAGCATCCATCGCACGATAGAAAGTTAGATACAGGAACGGCACAAGAGGCGGTCTTACCACAGGTGCCTGTACAAATAACAGATGGCAAACACATAAGCTCTCCACAAATTAGAAAAATAACAAAAAACTGTACACAGAAGACATGCAGGTCTCAACCTTTTACTTTCAGATATTATAACAATAAAAATCCAAAGATCCTGTGCAGAGATCTTGTGTACCAAAAAGGCATACGCAGCTAAACATCTAGAAGCCAGGTTTTGATTTTTAATCCTAGCAGTTAGGCTATCACCATGTCTCTTATACTCAAATATGTACAGAAGCATAGTAAAAGGACATATTTGAGAGCCTCTTTGGAAGGTGGAAATTCCATGGGAAATTTGCAGGAATTTGGTACGAAACAAACCGAGTCCAGTCAAAATTCAGGAAATTTTTCCCGTGCTCCAAATGGTGCCAGAGTGTGTTTCTGCTAGATACCATATATCATAGAAACAAGAACTACTGAACTAGTTTTGATGAGAAGGTGGTTGTACTTGTACCTCTTGGCAAGACGAATTCTCACCGGCCTTGTCGAGGAGCCTCACCCAGTTGAGCGTGGCGTCGACGTAGCTGACGAGGGGGAAGAGCTGGAGGTAGAAGCCGATCTCGCCCTGCACCTCCCGGAGCTCGTCGGCGTGGCGCGCCCCCATGAAGCACCGGTACGCGTACCCGCGCCGCTGGCAGGAGCGCACGAGCAGGTACGCTCGCCGGAGCGTCTCCTCGAGCTCCTCCACGGGCGCCCGCGTCTCCGGCGCGCGCATCGGGTGCGCGTCCTGGAGCCGCCGGAGTAGGCCGCCGATCATCTCCACCCGCCGCGCCAGCTGCCGGCAGGTGGCGCGGTTCCGGCGCACCGTCCGCGCGGCGTCGGCGATCATGGTGATGAGGCTGTACGCGTCGAGACCCACCAGCTGCGCCACCGTGGCGACCTGGCCGACCAGAGCCATGTCCTTGCCGTTGATTTGTGTTTGGTGGTGTGGTTGGGGTGGTTGAGGTCGAGGAAGATGGAGAGGAGGAAGAAGGTGGTGCGGTGGTGAGTGAGAGCATAAAAAGGCCATGGTTTGGGAGGAAGTGGCAGACAAGTCCAAGAACTTGACTGGTGTGAAAGAGACAACGGCAGTTGAAAATGATTAGATTTTTCTGAAATGTGATGCTGACATGTTTGAGCGAAGCATACAGTTGGCGCCAAACGTGAAGGAGGCCGGGTTTCCAGGAAGCTTCAAAGCTTGTATAAAGTAGTAGGCATGATTTTGTTCAATCTTTGAAAGATTCCAAGTTGGACCCATTATTTGGTTGGTTCCTCATCGGCCTTGTATAAAGTAGTTGGCACAGCAATGCCAGCCTGCCTGACCAGCAGTGATCGATTTCTAGATGCTCTGTCATCTCGAGCTAGACTAATAACCTAACCACATGTGGACAGACTCTAACAAGATAGCATTTTATGACAGACAAAAGGGAGCAGGTTATTACACTGATAATTCAACCGGAAAAATATAAAATTCGGCCGGCGCTGAAGGTAGGCATCACCTTCTAAGGAGCTTCCGATTGAGCTCAAATGTGCTCAATTTGTCAACAAGATTTCCAGATGTCGATGTCCTGAGCATTAGTAAACTGTACTCAAAACAGACGCCACGAAAGGGACCTCTGACCAGCTCTCCAAGTTGGACTCGGTCCCTCAGCTCACCACAGTGTGTTTACACGAATGTTTAGTTGCAACTATCTCTCTCTGTGGTGTTAACAGAATCATGATCGATTCACCAAACTTAACATATTTCAGTAGTTCATTACTTGACACTTTGGATATGATACTGCAACAGTTTCTGTGGTTCTTCCAAAAGTACAACCTGATCTAGCCTTACCACCAGGCTGATCATCTATTGCCACGTTACTGAGCTACAATGATGCTGCCAAGCATGGTAACGACTTCCGACATGGAAGGTCGATGTTTGGCATGGTGGTGAATGCATAACAGGGCCACCATCACACATTCCATAATCTGAGCGCATTCATGCTGTTTCGCACGCAGCAAGGGATCAACAAACTTGTGCATCTTCGTTTGGTACTTGCGTGCCTGAAAAAAATAGAATTTCAATCAGGTGAAATTTCATAGTTACAAGTATGATCCATCATAGTTCTTCAAGTGTACCCAACAAATCTCGTTGTCTAGAGAAGGGACTCAGAAAAATGTCATTTATAGCCACCGAAAAAGAGATCACATTTAGCCTCCTTTTTAAAAAAAAAATAGAATAAATACTTACATAATCAGGAAGCAGTAGCCCTGTATGGCCCTTCGCCTTCACTTTATTATAAGACCGAATAAGCTTTCCATTTATTATCTCAAGAAGTACTATACCAAAGCCATATACATCTGCTTTCTCCGAGATAATTCCAGTAGCAACATATTCAGGATCTGCATAGCCACTAAGAGACAGAGAGGATTATCATTGTAGTGCGCGTGTGCAAACACATGGAAATGAAAAATAAGAAGGTCGTGTCTATAATTTGATTGCTGTATCAGATGAGCTCCTACTATGTGCCCATAACAGCCACCTCTGCAGTCGTATTTGGAGCCAACATTAGTGCCAGACCAAAATCAATAATCTTGGCGTTCATTTCGTGATCCAGCAGGATATTGCCTGCTTTTATGTCCCTATGGACAATACACATCTGAGAATGCCCATGCAGATAAACAAGACCATCTGCTATCCCTTTGATTATTTGAAGACGCTTAGACCAATTTAGCATCTCCCTTTTTGTTTCATCTACAAAAGAGAACATACATTGGTAGCAGAAATCATTGAGTAATACACTTGCTGAACAATGAACTCGAAAGATTAAAGAGGCATTAATATTAATGTAAAGTTACCAGCAACGATAGATGCCAAGCATTTATTTGGCATGTATTCATATATAAGTATGTTTTCTTCTCGTTGATCACAATACCCAAGTAGAGCAATTATGTTTTTATGTTGAAGATTTGGAATGGCTTCAATCTCAGTTCTGAACTCATGTGGACCTTGAAATGAAGATGCATCTTTTCTTTTGATTGCGATATCAAGACCATTAGATAGTTTGCCCTGAAAAAGATTTGAGTGCCAGTGTTAAAAAACACATCTAATGATGAACAAGGGAGCATAACAGAACTTTCAGGTATAAGATGATATAAACTGCTTGTGCCAGTGACTAGTAGAGCAGTTGAGCACATCCTTCAGATTAACCTTTAACATGAAGCAAGGTGCTATAATTGATTAGCCCCATCCCAAGTGGAGATGCATTTAGAGAAGTTTTTTTTAATCTAGGTGTTATTTCAAGAACTTGTCTCATACTAAAGATTGTCTCGAGAAAACATTACCTTGTAAACATAGCCAAATCCACCATGTCCCACCAAATTTCTCTCCGATAAGTTGTCTGTAGCAGCCAAAATCTGAGAGATGCTAAAATGTGATAATTCTGCTGTTTTTGAGCCACCAATGAGATTTACTAGTCCTCTCATGTTCATGACTTGGCCTAATTCAAAGGAAACCCCACTTTGTCACTGATTAAAAATATGCATTCTCGAAAAAAGAGTTAAAGAAATGGTGGCTACAGTATGACTGAACTACAGCAATAACTTGAAGCTTCTCTGTCCTGTCCAAAATCAAATGAACGTATCCAATAGAATCATAAAGGAACAGATATCAGAAGTCGTTATGTCAAGTCATTTTTGTAACTTCAAGCTTATTTTCTTTAAATCAAATTTAACAGGATGACAAGTAGGAAAAGTCAGTGAGTTGTCCATGCCCTGGGAGATAAATCCGTGCAATGATCAATTCTAGAAGATTATGCTATATTATACCCCTGTATCAAAAGGAAAGGCATCAATGTATAGCAAATATTTGATATATTGTTCATATATTGATGCAAGTTATCTTCCAAAAGTTACATAGATGTACATGTACTTTGGAGTAGGAAAAATTAGCTTAGCAATTCCCAGGTGCTACAAAATGTCACAGCTATTAGAAAATATTGCATAATTGTGGAGTGCATGAGCATACCTTCTGTTTTCTCTTCCTCAGGTTTTGAGGGAGGATGAGTTCCCAGATTTTCAAATTTATTGGTCATGAGGGCCTCTGTTCTAAGCCTGATATAGTAGCACACATGTAAAATATGACAGGCTATATGAATAAAGAAACTCAAGAGTTTGTCTGTTAAAAAGCAAGTTCCATTTGTGTATGTGGGTAGGGTGGATGAGGTCACAATTTTCTTAATCAGAGTATCACATAATTAGTATCACAATGGTCATGACTATATCGTAAGGAAAGGCATCAGCACCAGAATTATAAACAGAGCCATATTCTGCAAGGATAGTGCAAACATTTCATATTGAGCAATCACAGTCCTTGCCGTGGTTTTAATTAAGGTTTTAAATCTCCAGCTATAGTTGTCGCTATAGCCGGCTATAGCTGTTTGAGGCTGATCAAGCTATTTGTGTTTATGTACAACTTAGCGGCTATAGCCCGCTATAGCCTCATTTAGCTCCGCTATAGCTGTTTTAGAGGTCATCCGCTAAATACCTTTAGCCGGAGATTTAAAACCTTGGTTTTAATTCGAAGAGAGGTGTGACCTTGGAGTGATAAAATGTTTAGTGCATCATTCAGTCTAGTCTCCAAAAGTCCAAATATACAGCAGCAAAACGAAGCAGGTTTACAATGTCTGAATGCACAAGCGAAGGCACTCCATAACTTTACATGAAAAAAGGAACACCATAGATATACCATATATATACCTATCTTCATGTTCCGCATGATGTACTGCATGTAACTCATCTGTAGTTTCCTTAATGATGCAAAAAATAAAAAAGAAGGCAAATAAGATCGTTTGATCAAAAGTTATATCTTAGCAAATATTATTCCAGCAACAAACTGCCATCACCATTTTGAATCTTAATTTTAATAAGAGGCATGGTAAACGGAATAAATATTTACATGTTTCCTTGACATAATATGTAATTTTTGGACAGTGCTTCTTATATAAGTTTCTTTGAATTAGAGTTTTATTACAACTTACATAGGTTTCAGCAGTTGCATGTAGGCTAGCCACCTACCAACAAAATCAGCAAAAAAAAAAAAAAATTGCATTAAGAAAGAATTTCATCAGCTAGAAAAAATGGTCTTTTTTCGTAGAGGAAGAAACTTGTCTTTTTGAAACACAACAAAGTCTTAGAAACTTTCACATGATGAAATCCATACCCTTGAGCACAGAGGACAAGCTCTGCTCAGAAGCCGCTCCCAAGTACGGGTGTTGTCGACAAAGCTGACAAGGGGGAAAAGCTGGAAGGAGAAGGTGATCTCATTCTGCACTTCACGGAGCAGATCAGCCAGCTTCTCTCCCATACAGCAGCTATGCAGGTAGCCACTATCACGACAGGACACGATGAGAATGTATGCTTGCCAAAGCGTCTCCTCCAGCTGCTCAACTGGGTTCCTCGTCTCCATGTGCTGCATCAGCTGTGTCCTTTCGAGCTGCTGCAGAAGGTCCCCGATCATCCTTGCACGGCGTGCAAGCAGCTGGCAGGTCTCCCGGTTCCTCTTAATCGTCCGCGCAGCCTCCACAATCATCGAGATGAGCCCATAAGCATCCACCCCTGCAAGCTGTGCGACGCTGGCCAGCTGACTAACTCCATTACACAGCGCCATGCTCTTGGCAGGGGTTGGTCTTCTGGAAGGTCTACCTTAGAGACCCCAGTACCTGAAATAATGGAACCAAAGTACCTGAGATCTAAATTTTCTAAAAACACAGTGACTTTGACGATGAACTGAAAGCGGCCAACTGAGAAAAACACGGTCTTCCACTAAACAGGAGCTCCTTAAAAGGGCAGATGAATTAGACAAAAAGGCAGAATCACAGCTGCTAAGTCAGCAAGAATGTGATTTAAAGCAATGTATCCATGATAGGTTAGTTCAACTTCTGAGAGAAGAAGAAGTCAAATGGTATCAAAGAGCAAAGAGTACTAAGATGCTGAAAGGTGATAACAACACAAAATACTTCCATATGATAGCTAATGGCAAGCATAGAAAAACTAGAGTTTTCAGGCTTGAACAGGAAGAGGGGATTATTGAAGGGGAAGAGAATCTTAAAAAGTATATCACAAAGTACTATAAAAGTTTATTTGGATCACAAATGAGTAACAATTGTTCTATGAATGAGTCCTTGGTAGAGGATATTCCTCAAGTAACAAGGGAGGAAAATAAGATATTGACAGAAAAGTTTACAGAGAAAGAAGTTAGAGAAGCCATTTTCCAAATGAATCATAACAAAGCCCCGGTCCTGATGGATTCCCAGTTGAGTTTTATCAGGTGTTTTGGAGCCTCATCAAAGGTGACCTAATGGCCATGTTTGAGGATTTCCATAGGGATAAGTTACCTTTGTATAGTAAATTTTGGAATTATCACTTTAATCCCAAAATTGAAGGAAGTCAAGATGATCCAGCAATATAGGCCAATCTGCATGTTAAATGTTAGCTTCAAAATCTTTACGAAGGTAATGGCTAATAGATTTTCCCTTGTGGCTAATAAAGTGATAAAACCATCCCAGACAGCCTTCTTGCCTGGTAGATACATTATGGAAGGAGTGGTTATACTGCATGAGACAATACATGAACTGTGTAAGAAAAAACAGGATGGGATAATTCTCAAATTAGACTTTGAAAAAGCCTATGATAAGGTTAATTGGCCTTTTCTACAACAGGCTTTAAGGATGAAGGGTTTCTCACCTGCATGGTATAAATGGATTGAAAACATAGTTAGTGGGGGTAGTGTAGGGGTTAAAGTAAATGATGACATGGGTCATTTCTTTCAAACAAAAAAAGGACTGAGACAAGGAGACCCCCTGTCTCCAGTTTCTACGCAACTGTGGCGCTCTTGGAAACCATGGCGCTCTTGGAAACCATGGAATGAAACACCACTGGGAATAGCCTTAGTCGTGCCAGCAGGTCAGCAAATAGGATTGCATATAGGCTATCTGATGGTGAGAGGCCACCAGCACACTGGCATTAATTTTAGTTGTCGACGATGCGGCGATGCCCCTCTATATGTAACATGCTCTTTTTTTCTACCACAGTACGTGAGCCTAAAGGGAATGAGAACCCCTACATAAAAGGACTGTGTATGTGGTTATTTGTTTTTATAAAGAGGAGTCAAATTATGTGGCCAAATTACATATACGGACTATAAAATTATCTTTTCCATTAGATCCACATCACTACAGCAGACGCGTGCTTTGCCGAGTGCAATTGCACTCGGCAAAGCCTTTGCCGAGCGCTGCACTCGGCAAAGAGCTGTCGGCATATCCCTTCACGGCAAAGGCTTCTTTGCCGAGTGCCGCATGTCGGGCACTCGGCAAAGGATTTCCCGAGTGCCACGACGGCACTCGGCAAAGAAAAGCCGCCGTGACGGCCAGGTCACGGTGACGACCCCTTTGCCGAGTGCCACGCGTCGGCACTCGGCAAAGAAATATGTTTTTTATTTTTTTTAAAAAAAATGCTTTGTCGAGTGCCTGCATCTGGCACTCGGCAAAGCTTGTTTTCTTTTTTTTGGATTTTCTTTGCCGAGTGCTGTAGGTAGGCACTCGGCAAAGCAGTTTTTTTTTAATTTTCTTTGCCGAGTGCCTTGATCATGGCACTCGGCAAAGCTGAGAAGCTTAGTGTCCCAGATTTCTAGCTTTGCCAAGCGTCATGGTCATGACACTCGGCAAAGAAGTGAAAAAATTCAATTTTTTTTGGTTTTTAGTCTTCCATCGTTGCAAACAAGATATACATCATATATATATAACACAACTATATATCACACACACACACACACACACACACACACACACACATATATATATATATATATATATATATATATATATATATATATATAATACAAATGTATATCACAATCCACCACAAACACAAACATAGCGTACAAGTATCACAATCTCAACTCCCAAGTCCAAAGTCCAAACACACAAGCATAGTTCACAAGTGCATTATATCACAACGGCTGTCATTTGAAGCTCACGACGACGGTCCAGGTTGGGATGGCCCAACGTGCGATCCTTGTCACCCTCCGAGGTGGTTCGACACCGCCCCCGATTGATGCTGCACAAAATAGAAGAGATTGCACGTGAGCGACAAGAGAAGAGATAAATATGCAAGATAAATATCTGCCACTACCACCACCACCACATCACAGCCATCACCAACACTTCACCACCACCACCACCACCACACCACCACCACCACCACATCACCACCATGACCACCACCACCACACCACCACCACCACCATGAGCACCACAACACCATGACCACCACCACCAACACCACACCACCACCACCACCATGACCACCACACCACCATGACCACCACTACACCACCACCACCACCACTAGGTTTCTCTAAGTTTCAGCATAGAAAGTAAAACTGCGTACTTATACTCACCGGGGTAGAATCAGGACGTTGTGGAGGTGGATCTGGAGCAAGCAGCGTCTGTGGGATCGCCCAACCTTGTTGCTAGCCAATTTGCTGCATGAACTTGATCATCTCGGCCATCTGCCGCTGATCTTGCTCCTGCTGGGCCTCCAAAGCCTGTAGCCTCTGCCGCTCGGCCTCCCGCTCGGCCTGCAGTTCCTGCACCTAGGCCTGCAACATTTGACCCCAATGTTTCAATAATGCATAGGTAAGGTATGTAAAAGTCAAAGAACGACGAATGAAATAGGAATGCTTACCTGGAGTGCCGACACCGCGGTCGGCCGTTGGCGTATGGGCACGCTTGAGCTCGTGCTCGCTGCTCGGAGCTGGTGGAGAGGAGGAGTAGAGGCCGTGTCGAGGACGCCATCGCCAATCCAGAACTGCCCATGCTTCTTGCCTTGCCCCACCCTCATCACGAGCTAAGGATCTAGGCGCTCCTCGGTTCTCGGATCGTAGCCTGGCCCATGGACTGACCTTGACGCCTCCGTGTACGAAGAGAGGCGGGTGTGGACGCTGGAGTTGGTGTACGCCTCAAGCTGGGCATCTAGGTCATACTCGATGTCGGCCGTCGCCTAGCCCATGTGAGCCAGAGCATATGCCTTGAGTTGACCAACTGGCTGGCCACCGTGTGCATCCGACTACGAGAAAGACAACAACATGTGGTTAGAAATGATGCAGAATTGAGCGCGGCTAGATTAGAGCAATGACGAAGACTTACATATGCCTTTGCATATTTGCTGAGGCTGTGGCTACCCTGATGGTGAGGTACACCTGGCATCTGCAAACGCCTGTCGCGGGCCTCCTCGTGCTTCTTCTGCCAGTCCCCGTCCAACCAGGTGTCCATAATATATTCCCAGCAATCGGGGTGGGTGGCGCACCAGCTTGGAATCGCCTACAGGACATCAAGTAGACGACATATCAGAAGATCAAATTAGGCATACTTAATCTCAAAAGAAATGAATATTCATGTTTTGTATTTACCTGTATGTACTGCTCCCTTATCAGCGTCATCCGTCTTGCCTCCTCTTTGTTGACACGCCTGAGTAGGAACTTGGCATTGTAGTCTATGTGGGCCTGGAGGCGGGACTCGTAGTGCAAGTCCGTGACACGCCTTTTATAGGAAGCGTAAGCCACCTGATACGCACTTTCCTCCTGTCCCTCCTGGATTCTGAAGAAGTCCTGCATAAAGACACGAGGTATCCATTATTTTATTTCAAAAATGTCCAATGAATGCGAGGAATTGAGGAATGTAGTGCAAGAAAGACTTACCCACAACTCCCTAATCACCTGATCTGCCTTGTTTCTACAGCGGATGCCATTATGATCCATATGTGGTAGTCATGACTCTTCATCCCTAAGACTCGGCCAGTCTCTGGGTTCGCTCTCCTCCTTAGATTCGCTGCATACCCATCCGAGAACTTTAACGTCTGCATCCATTATATCACTTTCGTCCTGTGCTTCTTTTCTAAGACGTAATCGGCCTTAGGCCTTTTCCATGGCTTGCCGTCTCTTGGATGCAGCATCTCTAGCTTTGGTCTATCGCATAGCGTTGCCAGGTCCACTCTAGCCTTAGGGTTGTCCTTTGTCTTGTCAGGAATGTCCATGAGTGTTGCCCAAAGTGCTTCGACGACATTCTTCTCAGTGTGCATTACATCTATATTATGTGGAAGGAGAAGGTCATCAAAATAGGGAAGCCTCTCCAAGCCCGACTTATGAGTCCACATATGTTCGACACCATATCCCACAAAGCAATCTTTCTTTGGATTATCTTTCTTTCGACTATCTTTCTATGAATTGACCACGAGAGCATCTATCTGAGCATGAACCTGGGCACCAGTCATCTTCTGAGGTTCAAGGTCGGTCACCTTGACACCTTTCGTGAAGTTCTTGGTGTCTTGTCTGAATGCATGGTTAAGAGGGAGGAACTGTCGATGCTTGCCGAACGACGAAAACTTGCCACCCTGCTTCAACCAAATGAACTCCAGAGTTGTCTTGCATACCGGGCATGGGAACTTCCCGTGGACACACCAGGCGCTGAATATCCCATACGCCAGGAAGTCATGCATGGAGTACTGGTACTAAACATACATTTTGAAGTTTTTCTTTGTAGCTCGGTAGTAAGTCCATACCCCTTCATTCCAAGCACTGATCAATTCATCATAAATAGGCTCCATGTATAC